CCTGCTGCAAGGAACAGGTATTGTGGCAACAGGAACAGGGATTTCGGCTTTGTGCATCGGCGAAGAGGGACAAGGGGGACTGTTACATACAGAAACGCTGCGCATACTATGACGTTGATTGGGTGACGACATAGCAAGACGGAAATAGAGTACGGACCTTTCCATGCCATCAAGAAGCGGCTGTAGCACGGTGATGACGCATCGCTGGAAGAGCATCACCTTCTCCACGGCAGACATTGCGGAAGGGGGGATAGGAAGGAGAGCAAGTAGCGTGTGCCCGACTTTCCCCCATCGCTTGGCCTGGGAGATGTTTGCAAGCGTCATCATTAGCGGCCACGCCTTCTTCCGGCACTTGTTGCTCATGTGCGTCACATCCGAGTATAGGATGATACCCCCCACGACTTCGGACCATCCAAAGTGTTCCTGCAAGGCACGACAAAGAGGGAAAAGGCACACGGTCAAACACCAACAAGGTAACTTGTCGCCAGGTGGACTAAGCATGCTTCAAAAAACTCCCCAGAAACATGACACACTGAAGATGCTCCCTACACAACAGCACATCAACGGAGGCATGCGCACTCTTCTGGTTTTGGGTGGCAACGGTGTATTTCCATACCTGAGCATCGTTCCACCACGTTCCAGTTTCCGGCGTGGTATAGCGACGCTCGCCTGTGTCAGGGTCCTCATCGACACGAGCCTTGAGCTTGAAGCCGGGTGCGTTGTTGGTATGCCCAAACAGTTCGGCAAACGCCTGGCGTACAGTGGCAAGAGCAGGAGAGAACCAAACCCTGGTTAGTGGCGTTGAAGGTGGGTCAGATCTCACACAAGCCTAACAGAGGCAACGTTCAACAAGCACCAAATGGATGCGGAATCTGCATTTCACAGCCACGGATCCAGATTCAACTTACCTGCGCAGAGTTCTGGAAGAGAAGGCGCTGTGGCGGATGACCGTCAATCTCGAAGGTCGCCACTGACCATCCGCGATTGAGCCCAACCAAGCGCTCCATCTCGAACCGCTCCAGATCCTTGCTATTTCGGATCTCTGAGATCACAAGAGGCGCAAGGCCGGGCTCCACCACGAGCTGAAACAGGCCATTGATGTCGGTCTCCGCCATTCCCATTCCGCCATTAACGCGCCGCACGAAATGCAGCAGCTTCAACGCAAGCGGATTGAGGGGCATGGCATTGCTCTGCCCAGAGATGCATGTCGGCGGTGCGGCGTGAGTCTCTTCAGGGCCCCTCTCCGGATGCTCACTCGTGTCAGAGGCATGTGTTCTGGGAGGCGGTTGATGCTCACTTTCAGGAGCCCCCACGTTCACAGATGAGGGTGTTGCGTCCCCGTCAGCTTCGGGCACGCGAGGAGGACCATTCACACCGTCGGTGTTGGACGCGTTAGACGCGGTAGGGGAAGCGGATGCAGCGGGAGCGTCTGACAGAATGTCGTGGACCAACAGCAGAGCGTGTAGACCGGCGGACGGTGCAGATGAGGAGGGCCTTGCCACAGCGGAAAGCCCTTGACAAGGGGTCCGCCGTGACTTATGGCCGCCATAAACCTGGGCGTTGGGGAACCATCTGTTGCAGAACTCGCATACTACGCCTGGCAAAGAGCCCATGTATTCTAGATCCGTCTAAGAGTGGTGGAATGTAGTGTGAGGAGACTAGCCAGTTTGAAGCTTGTAAACGCTTTTACTTCACGATCAATGAAGGCTCAGACTCCAGCACGGTCATCGCTACAGCGCGAAGTGTCCACGGCGGCTTGGATCTCTGCACGCCTGGCACTTGATCGTGGCGCATTAGTGAGAGACTGGCTAACAATGGTCGCGCAGCGCGGCCGTGACAAGCCTAGATACAGACCGCCGACAGCACGGCATAGGCCTTCCCTACAAGGCGTGTCACCCCCTGTTAGAGTGATTACGACGTGAGCAGGGCCTTATGCAGTGGTGTACGGCTAGCTTGGTCGCGGGCGTGCGTGACGAGCACGGTGAGGAGTACGTGCCTCCATATTCAAAACTTCGGTTTTTGAATCGTGTGTGAGAGTCGAGGTGGGAGAGGAAGAGAGGGAAGAGATCTGTTTGGTGTTGTGATTCTTTCGAGAGTCTCTATAGGGGGGAGATCGCGATCACGTAGGTGTGCCCAAAGTGGTGCGCACCCCCATAGCCTTAATCCAAACCAGGTAATACCATTGTACAGTTACATATAACAAATAACTTAATGTCACTCATAACGATTATACGACCATACTTTACGGCATGCTCAATACCTACCGGCATATTGACAACGGCAGTGCTTAGAAACAACACCGTTAGTGTGGTCTGCTACCATTTGGGAAGCAACACCATTCCACAACCGTTTCACCATGTCGCGTAAGCCACGGGCCTGAACGCTGCAACGTCGCCGCGTCTGAACAGCGATGTCGATAACGCATAACCGCTCGTACGTTGGACCAGTGCTTCATGCCACACCCTCCATGCACCTTGTCGAGGGCCCAAGCAAGAATTGAGCCCAACCCAACACCATTCCACAACGGTTTCACCATGTCCCGCAAGCCATGGGCCTGAACGCTGCAACGTCGCCGCGTCGGAACAGCGATGTCGAGAACGCATCTACGCTTGTGCATTGGGCCTGTGCTTCATACCACTCCTTCTGGGCGCCTTGTTGAATGTCTGTGCAAGAATGGATGACAATCCAACGCCAAACCACAACGGATTCACCATGTCGCGCAACACACAGGCCGGAACGTGGCATCGTCGCACTGTCTAAACACTGCTGTCGGGAACGCATCTACGCTTGTGCGTTGGGCCTGTGCTTCACAACGGATTCACCATGTCGCGCAACACACAGGCCGGAACGCGGCATCGTCGCACTGTCTAAACACTGCTGACGGGAACGCATCTACGCTTGTGCGTTGGGCCTGTGCTTCATACCACTCTCTCTAAGCACCTTGTTGAATGTCCGTGCAAGAATGGATGACAATCCAACGCCAAACCACAACGGATTCACCATGTCGCGCAACACACAGGCCGGAACGCGGCATCGTCGCACTGTCTAAACACTGCTGTTGAGAACGCATCTACGCTTGTGCGTTGGGCCTGTGCTTCATACCACTCTCTCTAAGCACCTTGTTGAATGTCCGTGCAAGAATGGATGACAATCTAACGCCAAACCACAACGGATTCACCATGTCGCGCAACACACAGGCCGGAACGCGGCATCGTCGCACTGTCTAAACACTGCTGTCGAGAACGCATCTACGCTTGTGCGTTGGGCCTGTGCTTCATACCACTCTCTATAAGCACCTTGTTGAATGTCCGTGCAAGAATGGATGACAATCCAACGCCAAACCACAACGGATTCACCATGTCGCGCAACACACAGGCCGGAACGTGGCATCGTCGCACTGTCTAAACACTGCTGACGGGAACGCATCTACGCTTGTGCGTTGGGCCTGTGCTTCATACCACTCTCTCTAAGCACCTTGTTGAATGTCCGTGCAAGAATGGATGACAATCCAACCCCAAACCACAACGGATTCACCATGTCGCGCAACACACAGGCCGGAACGCGGCATCGTCGCACTGTCTAAACACTGCTGTCGAGAACGCATCTACGCTTGTGCAGTGGGCCTGTGCTTCAAACAACTCTCTCTAAGCACCTTGTTGAATGTCCGTGCAAGAATGGATGACAATCCAACACCATACAACTACTTTTTCTCGTCTGTTACTATTCGTCAACACATTCGTTTGTTACACTTTGTGTGTGTGACATGAGACAAACCCACTACCGGCGGCAACCCCATACTAAACCAAGAGCATCAAAGTTTTGGATGTTTTTTATTGTTGTATTTTTTGAAATTTATTCCGCGTACATGTTCAACACTGTGCGTTCACGAGATCACTGTACTTTGCAAGGATAAGGTTACATTCGCACTTGAGGTTCTAAAACTGTCATACTATGCGTAGAGATTGATGTGTTGGCAACCATGGTTGGCCAATGCATCTCAAACGAGTCCCCACACAACACAAGCACCAGCCAAGAGGTACTTCCGCCATTGAGCGGATGAGATCGAGCGGTAGGCGGGTTTATGCACGGGTGGCTACACGTACACCGTCCGATATAGCCTGATAGGGTTACAGTAATCTCTATAGTCTCGCAACCCACCCCAACCACCCTCGTGCCCCACCCACGTGCTCCCGTCACCCTCTATGCCAACACTTAGACGCTGCTCGCTGTTTGACAAGCGCGTTTCCAGATCGCCCGTGACTCACCAGTATACTAAGTCACGGGCCGTAGCTCTGTGATGAGTGGCTACTATTTCAGGTTTAGTGATAGCAGCTATTTTCGGAGAAACATAACAGTGATAGGCCGTCGTTAAACACTTCGTGATATTCAGTTGCTGCGGCCCTTCAAAACAGGCTAACCCGTTTCGCGCGATAGACCTTGGCATTCCTACGGCAACCATGACACATGCCACACGTCAACAAGCAATGGAGGAGGAACAGGCCGGACGCCGAGCGACAAGGACGATGTCTAAACGGACTGATAGGGAGGGTGGCGGCGGCGCTAAGAAAACTAATGCGTCCGTTGCGCGTGGCACTGGGCTGAGAAAAGTGGCGGCAAAGAAGGTCGCGCGGGATCAAGAGAAGTCCGGCAGGAAGGCGGCAGACAACGGGAAGCAACCAATGCCACGCAAGCGTGTTTCTACAGTGAACAAAGATGCGGATGTTGCCTCAACTGGAACCACGCCCGGTCCGACTAACGACGGCACCAGTGGCGGCAACAAACATCCGGGGCGAGGGAGCGCGAGTCTTGCAGTCCCGTCGGCGGAGAGAGAGGGATCGGCGACAGGGGGAAACCACGGAGGCGATCCACGCGCCGAGCATACCGCAACCAAGGAGTCCGAGGCGGAGGCATCTCAACACCATCTGACGCTGCTCCAGCCGACCGTGGTCGAAATTTCTGCTGGCGTGCTGGATAAGGACAGGGTGGGGGAGCACGAGTCGATGGAGGATCCTAACCACGGCATAGCCGACGTCGGTGGCTCTCCTCCTTCTGGTGGACGGGGGAGACGTAGGCAGATGAAGAGCGATGAGGAGGACGATTCTGACACCGCCGTGCCCGGGGACATCACCACGCGGGCGAAGAGGCGGCAGACGACAGGCAGTGCCGACGACGCCGGTGGCGTGGAAGTTGGGAGAACGCGAGGCGCCAGTGAAGCTAGTGGCAAAGCGACGGGTCATGCATTGCGCCAAAAGGGCCGACCCGCAGCAAGAAAAACATCCGGCGGAAGGAGGGGCAAGAAACGGGGTCATGAAGACCCTGGTGAGGCCGAGGAGGAGGATGCGCAGGAAGAGGAGGATGAAGAGGATGCGGAGGAGGATGACGCGGATGTTGGGGAGGATGAAAAAGATGAGAATGATGGCGGGGAGGACGAAGAGGAGGAGGAGGAGGAGGAGGAGGACGATGAGAAGGAGGATGAGGAGGAGGAGGAGGAGGAGGAGGATGAGGAGGAGGAGGAGGAGGAGGAGGATGATGAGGAGGAGGAGGAGGAGGAGGAGGAGGAGGAGGAGGAGGAGGAGGAGGAGGAGGAAGAGCACGGGGACGACGAGGAGGAGGATGAACAGGAGGAGGAGGAGGAGGCAGAGGAGGATGAGGAGGAGGAAGAGGGGGAGGAGGAGGAGGACATGGCGGCAGTGAAGGGACGGGGCGGGCGTGGCAGACGGCAGAGTGGTACAGGGAAGGTGGGGGGCCGGACTCGCCATTCCCGAAAACGCGGGGCAGTTGACGCCGCGCGCGGCGCAGCAGCTGGCAGACCGAAGGCGCGTAAGGTGAAGGTCGAAAGTGAAGGGGGTGGTAAAAAGCAAGGGCGCCAGGGAGCAAAAGGGGATGGAGGAGGTAAGGGTGGCGGCGCCAACGGGGTTCCATTGGGTACTGGCAAGAAAGAACCTGCCGGTAAACGTCGCAGCGGCCGTCAAAGCACCCCGCGGAAAGGTGGCAACGAGAAGGCGCTGGCCCCAAAAAAACCGAAGGGACAGCAGAAAGGTGAGCACCCTGGCCAATAGACCGGGCGTGGTTGTTGCACTCTTTGCGCAACCGTGCCAAATAACACCATTCTACACGTTGTTTCTCCCCTGCAGGGAAGGAGAAGGACGACGAATCTGCAAAGAAAGGTAAAGTCTCCTGTCTCAAAACAGTACACGGCTAAGCCCGATTTAGATTCAAACCATTGATTTCATGCATGACTGTCTGGCCCTGTATTGATACCGATCGACTTTAATTTCTTGATCCTACTCCCTCTAAATCTCAGCCCCTCGCGTTACAGGCATTGGGCCACCGGTAAGCGTACAACGGATGCAACTAATGAAGGGGGCCGGAAGAGCGAGTGTGACGCCACTATCCACAGGAGCCCCAAGGTTCTTCACGCCGTACTCCGGCCCAAGCAAAGTCGCTGCGACGGCTCCCGGCGCGCCAAGAGGAGAGGAATCCGAATCACCTCCACCAGGCCCCGTCACGCACTCCCCACTCGCCTCACCCTCATACCCATTTCGGCCGCTACACGCTTCTCCTGTCCGGGGCAGGGCGGTCTCCCCCCTCGCTGGTCCTTCGCGTGGGCATCAGCCAAGCACTTCTGCCAATCCCTTCCCTGAGCTCCCCTTTTCCCGCCAGCGTGATAGTGTGAGGGCACACGGGACTGCTGAAGAAGATGCTGAAACCCTTGGCAAGAGGGGGGATTCTTCACACCCTTTTCCACCGCTCATGGGTGCCCTAGGTGAAAGTGCGGAGCACGAGCAGTTTGTTACACGGGAGGAGTTCCAGGCGCTGCGGTCTGAGATGTACGCCATGTTTGCACAGCTCGGCCTACGTCGTGGAGTACCTGCCAGTTATGCCGGGGGTTTCGCAGCCGCGCCTATGGCTGGTACCCCGCCGCCGATGAGTGCCGTGGACAAGGCACGAGTGCTAGTGTTGCAGGAGACAAACCCATTCCCGGTATGTGGCGGGCCAAATGGGGCGGGTTGGGGCTGACGTGGGGGCTTGGAAGGGTACACGGGTGACGAGGTGACTCGTGTCAGGTGGGTGGGGTGACGTGGCATGGGGTGGGTGGGTGGGTGTGATGTGGCACGTGGGGCTGGTTGTTCCCTGACGTGGCGGATGGAGGAGGGTGTGACGTGGCGGGATGTGAGGCTTGGGGCTGACGTGGCAGCTTGGACGGGTACACGGGAGCGGCGCGTGACGAGGTGACGCGTGTTAGGTGGGTGGGGTGACGTGGCATGGGGTGGGTGGGTGGGTGTGATGTGGCATGTGGGGCTGGTTGTTCCCTTACGTGGCGGATGGAGGAGGGTGTGACGTGGCGGGATGTGAGGCTTGGGGCTGACGTGGCGGCTTGGACGGGTACACAGGAGCGGCGCGTGACGAGGTGACGCGTGTTAGGTGGGTGGGGTGACGTGGCATGGGGTGGGTGGGTGGGTGTGATGTGGCACGTGGGGCTGGTTGTTCCCTGACGTGGCGGATGGAGGAGGGTGTGACGTGGCGGGATGTGAGGCTTGGGCCGGACGTGGCGGCTTGAACGGGTACACGCGAGCGGCGCGTGACGTGGTGACGCGTGTCAGGTGGGTGGGGGGTGACGTGGCATGGGGTGGGTGGGTGTGACGTGGCACGTGGGGCTGGTTGTGTTATAGTCACAATAGGCTTGAATGTGCCTAAAACGAAAGATAGAGAGCACAGACGGATTTCTGCACAGCGGCTTCAAACGTTGATAGCGTTCTTCTCACAGCTGCAAATGACTTGATTCAAATTGGATCTGGAGCGTCTTCACGTCGTCTACAATTATCAATTTAGATTGCACGATTTGATAAAGAATTGACGACACAGCGTCGGTTTGAACGAACGGCACTATGGCAGCCACTATAGTCTTAGAACACAAGATAGGAAGAGTTAGCAAGGGTTACGAGTTGGGAATAACTCCCAGCTCCTACAAACCCCAAGAGCCGAGGTACAGTGATGTGGAACAGTGCCACACTGTCCCCAACCACGAAGGGTCTCGAAACTACCCTTCACTAGGGCCTACACCAAGTGAAATGTTACACTACACAAAGTAATGTAACTATCTTCAATATCTTGAGGTGTACCCTTTTGGCGAGCTTCGAAATCACTTGAGGCTTGACACCAAGGCTCGGGCTCTTCATCACAAACTCATCCTTGAGTTCTTGATGGGTCTGCTGCACACACCTGCGACACGCCGAACGTTCGACACAGGACAAAATAGAAACCGCGCACGACAAAATAGAAACCGCGCGCGAGACACAAACGACCGCGTAACACGCGTCTAGCGATAACTCGCTATTGACTCGACACACACACTCGACATCATGACTCAACATTCACACACAATTATAAGCATGAAATATATATTATCCCATGCCCTCATACCATTCCATACACACACACATTCACGCACACGGACAACAAGCCGAGTGCAAACCGTAGGGTTGCACCAACAAACTCCCCCTCGGATTGTTGGCCTTAGGATATGTTGCTCTCTCAGTTCAGAGCCATCCCAGCCAGCTTGCAACACTTCCAATGCTGCTGCTCCACCAGCCTCTTGGTCATCATGTCAGCCGGCTGCCCCGTGGTCTTCACGTAGCGCAACTCAACTTCACCCGCGGTTACCATGCTCCTCGTCCAATGCCACTTCACCCTCATGTGCTTCGTGAGTCCATGCAACACAGGGTTCTTAGCAAGAGCAATGGCACCCTGGCTGTCACAGTACAGTGGGGTAGGTCCTTGCTGCTCCTCCCCCAATTCAGCCAACAAACGCCGCTGCCACACAATCTCCCGTACGGCACGGAAGAGTGCCATGTACTCGGACTCCACCGAGCTCAAAGCTTGGTCAACCTGCTTCTTGCTCTCCCAAGCAGTTGGGCCTCCACCAACACAGCATATGAAGCCTCCCACACTTGTCATGTCCTCTGGTTCTGATGCATATGAAGCATCCGAGTAGGCGGTGAGGAACAAACGCCCGGGTTCAACACCATCCGCGCCCTTTTGGCGCCTTTGTGCCGCCGCCGAGTATTGCAGCCCAACGGTCGGTGTTTGGCCAAGATACTTGGCCACCCTCATTCCAGCTGCTACCTGCTCCTCATTAGGGCATTGCACAACCCTAGCCAGCTGCCCGGTAGCAAACGCGACGTCCGGTCGGTTGTTTACCGCCGCATACATGAGGCTGCCCACCAACGAGTGAAATCGGCGCCTCTCCTCTTCACCAACACTCTCCTCCTCTGGCCCCTTCACACACTTGAACCCAGAGGGAAAGGGTGTAGCCACATGGCCTTCACTCTGCCCAAAGTTGGCAGCCAATGCCTCCAGGTACTTTCGTTGATGCACCCGCATGCACCGCTTCTCCACATCTCGTTCGATGTGGAGCCCAAGGTAGAAGCTCACGTCACCAAGGGCCTTGCACTTGAACTTGTCTTGAAGCTTCAGCATCAACTCCTTCACAAGGTCAGAAGAGGGTGAGAAAATGAGGATGTCATCCACATAAACCACCATGAAACTCCTCTGCTCCCCCTCGCCAAGCATGAACAAGGAGTGATCGGCCGTTGAGGGAGTGAAGCCGATCCCCTCCAACACTTCGCGCAGCTTCATGTACCATTGCCTAGGGGCCTGCTTCAGCCCATAGAGGGCCTTCTTCAGCTTCCACACTCTGCCACTACCATCATCAAACCCCTCTGGCTGCGCCATAAAAATCTCCTCCTCAAGGATGCCGTTAAGGAATGCCGTTACGATGTCCATTTGCTTTACTACCCATCCTTTGATGGCGGCTCCCGCGAATAGGGTTCGCAGCGTCGTCGGCTTCACCACAGGGGCAAACAGCTCCTTGAAGTCCACCTTCTCCTTCTGCTGGTACCCCTTGGCTACAAGCCTAGACTTGTAGCGCTCGATCTTGCCGTCGGCATCCGACTTGATTTTGAAGAGCCACTTGGACGTTATCGCCGTACGCCCCTCCGGTAGCTCCACCAATTCAAACGTGTCATTCTCCTCGATGCTCTTCAGCTCACTCTCCATGGCCTTCTTCCACTCCTCAGCATCACTACTCTCCAAAGCCTCCTTGAGAGTTGCTGGTTCTCCCGGCATCTCCACCGGAGAGAAGAACGCGAAGGCACACTCCCCGTAGTCACTCTCCTCGTCGTCTCCGACCATCATTGCCGCTCCGGCCAGGGCTGTCTTGCCCTGCTTTCCCGGCGCATCATAGGTCAGCCTATTAGGGGGTTGAACTCTCCTCTTCCCCCTTCCTTCCTCCTCAGCTGCAGGGACTTGAAGGCCTTGGCGTTGCTGCGGTGTGGCTCGAATCCGTGGAGCACTCGTAGTACGGGAAGGGAGTGACGGTGCACGCTCGCTCACTTGCTGCACCTCCTCTTCTTCCTCTGCATCATTGGCCTCCTCTCCCCCATTCACAAGGGAGGATTGCCTTGTGGTTGTGCTGCCGCTGCTCAGCTCCAAAGGCAGCTCCACATGCTCCAAACCGGAACTCTTCACCTCCCCAAACCGCACGCCTATCTTCGCCTCATTCTCCGCCTTCCAATCCTTGTACATGAAGTTCTCCATGAACTCGCAGTCCCTGCTCACCAAGAACTTCTTGGTGAATGGGTCCCAAAGAAGCCATCCCTTGCTGTTTTGAGCCATGCCCAAGTGCACGGCCCACACCGCCTTGGCACCAAGCTTGTTGTGCCGAAGATGCTTAGGCACGAGCGCCATGCACATGCACCCGAACACCCGAAGCATATCCACCTTTGGCTTCCTTCCTAGCCACTCCACATAGGGCACCCATTTGTCTTCTCCCACATGAGTCAAGGCTCTGTTCTTGGCCACACACGCGCTCCGCACCGCATCAGGCCAGAAATAGTCGGGTAGCCCGGCTTCAATGAGCAACCCGCGTGCCGCCTCCGTGATTGTGCGGTTCGCTCGCTCGGCGATGCCGTTCATTGCAGGGGAGTATGGCATGGTGAGGGAGTGCCGAATACCATTCTTCTTCAGCCACAACCCAAACTCCTTGCTCAGGAACTCTCCCCCTCGATCGGTGCGGATTGACTTGACTAGACGGTCTTGTTGCCGCTCCACCATCGGGAACCAATCCGTCTTCAACGTTTCAGCCACGTCGCTCTTCTTGGCCAGCACGTACACCCAAGTCATGCGGGTGTAGACGTCGACAATGGTGAGAAAATACTCAGCTCCAGCAGCTCCAAGCTTCAGGGGGCCCACCACGTCCATCACCACCTCATCAAGCGGTGCCTTTGCCGTTGCCTCCGAACTAGGGAACGGAAACCGGGTGAACTTGGCTTGAATGCACGTCGGGCAGCCAAGCACCTCATCGAGCTCCCCCTTCACACGTATGCCAGCAACCATCTCATTCTTCACTAGCTGCTGCAAGATGGGCAGGGCCACATGCCCCATGCGCCGATGCAAGGTGAGCCAATCACACTCCCCCGTAGCCGAAGTTGGATTGGAGAATGCCGCGCTCGCAATAGCGCCCCACATACTTTCTCCGTAGTCCTCCTCCGCTGCTGCCTCTGGGTTCTCCTCACCCTTTTGCTGCTCCTTGGTTGCTGCACCACTCTCCTTAGGTTCACTGAACTTGCTGGTCCCTCCAGGTTTGCTCTTCTTGAGCTCATTCTCC